GTCCGCCATCTGTCTCATTGGGAGCCTGCACTGTTTTGCTCACCATCACCTTCCCATTGCCAGGAACAGGGGTCTGGCACACAGCAGCTCTTGGATACCCAATAACTATATACTGAGGAAATGAACGAGTGAATCAGGGTCATCGGCACATCGTAGGTGCTCAGGAAACGCCAGCAGCTATTTAAGATTGTCAGCCTTCCTGATGTTCCCTGTTTCCCCAGCAGGTCTGGGGGAAGCATGGTGAGATGAATCTGAATTAAGAGGGAGTGCTAGGCTGGGGCTTCAGGGCGGGGGGAGCCAACCACGCCCAGGAGGCAGGCAGCCAGATCGGAGCCAGGATCACTGTCTGGGAGACACTGAGGGAGGAGGGGCTGCGAGCTAACCAGGGCAGAGTTTCTGAGAAAAGAGGAACAAGAAGGTCAAGAGACAGAACTTTCTTTCCCTACAATAATAACTGCTAACATTTATTATACTTACTGTGAGCGAAGCACTCTTTAAGCCTCAACACAAACCCCTGGTGTAGGCACTGTTATTCCCATTTTACAGATGAGGAAGCTGAGGCCCAGAGAGAGTATGTTACTTAGCACATTACACTCTGCTATATCTTATGGGTGTTCTGGATTAGCACCTTGGAGTTGCAGTGACTCACTGGCTCATCCGTTCATTCCTTTCAGAAATATTCATGGAGCCAGCACGGGGCTCAGACCTGTGCTTGGTCCTGGGGGTCACAGAAGTGCATCAGACTCGGACCTTGCCCTCACATCTCTTCTGGCCTGGTGGGAGAGGCTGATTTGCAGAGATAACAGATACCAAGAGCTATAGAGGTTATTCTAGGGTTTATGCAGCGTCCGGTGAGGTCAGGATGGATGGGCGGAGGGGCAGTTCCTCCTGCGGGAGCACTGAGAAGGAGTCTGGACACAAGGGAACCCTGGAGCTGATTTGTTGTTGTTGTTGTTGTTGTTGAGAAGGAATCTTACTCTGTCACCGGGACTGGAGTGCAGTGGCATGATCTCGGCTCACTGCAACCTCCACATCCCAGATTCGAGTGATTCTCCTGCCTCAACCTCCCAAGTAGCTGGGACTACAGGCATGTGCCACCTTGCCCGGCTAATTTTTGTATTTTTAGTAGAGATGGGGTTTCACCATGTTGACCAGGCTGGTCTCAAACTCCTGACATCAAGTGATTCACCCGCCTTGGCCTCCCAAAGTGCTGGGATTACAGGTGTGAGCCATCACACCCAGCCTTGAAGCTGACTTTAAAAATGAAGAGAGCTCATCAGGCAGCAAGGTGGGGAAGAGCATTCCAAAAAGAGGGACGGGCAGTAGTGAGGGCAGGCAGAGGGAGTTTCTAGGCGCGTGGGAGATGAGGGGCAGGCTGAGATGCAGGGAGCAGTTCGAGGGGAAGCTGGAGAGGTCGAGGGTAGTCTTTGGGAAGCCCTTTTATGGAGTCTGGACTCTGGCAATGGGGAGCCATTGATGAGTTTTGAATGAAGGAGGAAAAGATTAGATTGTGTGCATAAGGATTAGTTTGGTTGAGTGGGATGGATTAGAAAGGCTGGAGGGAAGGAGGACTTGAGGAGGCTGAGGACAGTGTCCCCAGGGAGGACGCCCAGTGTAGGATGGAGAGATGCAGGCTGATTAGAGAGAAAGAGAGGAGGCAGCATGGATTGGATGTGGGTGCTCAGGAGAAGGAGGAGGTGTCAGAGTGGGGGTGCAATCGGGTGGCTCCTCAAGGCTGGAACTCGGGAGGAGGGGTGGGCGGTGCAAGGGAGAGGAGTTCTGCTTTTTGATGCTGTTTCACCATCAGGGCGGGGCTCTGAAAGTCATCCTTTTTTCCCCTCCTCCCCAGGGCCACCTGCCCCCTTCAGATGCTCTGGGGCAGGAGGGAAAGGGACATGAAGAAGTGCCCAGGACCAGGTGAGGGCGCTTGGTAGTGTTAACTTTTTATTTTTTATTTTTATTTATGTATTTATTTTTCATACAAAGTTTCTATCTTGTTGCCTAGGCTGAAGTGCAGTGGTGTGATCTTGGCTCACCACAACCTCTGCCTCCCAGGTTCAAGTGATTCTCTGGCCTCAGCCTCCCAAGGAGCTGGGATTACAGGCATGTACCACCATGCCCAGCTAATTTTGTATTTTGTATTAGAGACGGTGTTTCTCCATGTTGGTCAGCCTGGTCTTGAACTCCTGACCTCAGGAGATCCACCCACCTTGGCTTCCCAAAGTGCTTGGATTACAGGCGTGAGCCACCGTGCCCGGCTGGTAGTATTAACTTTTTTAAAAACACAAAATATAAATCTAGAAAAAGAAAGGGGACCACACGCAGGTGGCCAACCCTCTGGCCAAGACCAGAGACAGACACTTCCAAGGAGGGTTTGGAGCAGGTGCTTGGTGCTGGACAGGGTGGCTACACATACATATTCAACAGGTTACAGGAGGAGCTATGCATATTCATAAAGGAGGTCCTGATGCATGCATATTGAACACATATGCATGTAACATACAATCCATGCTCACTTGGGATGGTGACTTAACATTTAAATTTGTTACAATTATGCCCTATACACCAAAAGGTCTTTTTGTGACGCGGAAGTTGCATGAGTAAGCAATCTCTGTATGAGCTGGAGCCAGTCTGTGGTTGGTGGGCTCTTATCAGGAGGACGTTATTGAAATCAGTCTCTTGTCCAGTCAGGGCTGTGGTTATGGGCTGGGCTCAGAGGCTCACAGCTCTAATCCCAGCACTTTGGGAGGCCAAGGCCGGCGGACCACCTGAGGTCAGGAGTTCAAAACCAGCCTGGCCAACATGGTGAAACCCTGTCACTACTAAAAATACAAAAATTAGCCCAGTGTGGTGGTGGGTGCCTGTAATCCCAGCTACGTGGGAGGTTGAAGCAGGAGAATCACTTGAGCCTGGGAGGTGGAGGGTGCAGTGAGCCGAGATTGCTCCACTGCACTCCAGCCTGGGTGATAGAGTGAGACTCTATCTTAAAAAAAACAAAAAACAAACCAAAATGGCTGCAGTTATGGCTGGTGGAACAGGGCTCAGTTTGTCAGCCTCTGTGAACTGCATGGGCTGTAACTGCTTTGACTTGCTTTTCTTGAGGCCGGTGCTTACTTAGCTGCTAGAGAAAAACCCTCGTGTCAGTCAGAACAGAGTTTCTTCTTTAGGGCTGCCTGACTTCACCCTGGCCTGGCATGATCTTAGGTCATGTTTATAATTTGGCATCTTATTGCCAAGGATTGTCTATTCTTTCAGTCCTACGATCTCTATTTTAACATTAACGCTGGTCAGTTATGTGTGTCGGCTGTAAATGAGGAGGGTGTAATGAGGCGTGACTGACCTTCCATCCTGCCACGGCTGGAAACTCAGTTTTTAAAGTTTTTCTAGGGTCTCCTGGGCCACAACCAGGGCCGTTTAGTCAGTGAGAGGCACAGGATTTTCTTTTTAGCTTACAGTAGCAACTGTGTTCCTTCGTTTGCTTTAAAGCTTTAGTTTAATTTATTTTTGGAAAAGTTAATATATTTAATTTACACAAAAGAGTATACAGTAAAATACTGGGCACAGTAGCACACACCTATAATCCCAGCTACTCAGGAGTTCAAGCCCAGAAGTTCAAGGCCAGCCTGGGCAACACAGTGAGACACTGACTCAAAAGAAAAAAGTATACATTAAAAAGCCTGGTCTCATAGATTGTAGAGTTACATAGCAAGCATAGAACATACCGACTACTTTCTAGACAGACAGCAAGAAACAAAACATGTGGGGCCCCTCCTGCTCTCCTGCTTTCTGCGGAGTGACACATCCGTTGTCTTTGGGGATTTTTTTTTTTTTTTTGAGGTGGGGTCTCGATCTGTTGCCCAGGCTGGAATTCAATGGCATGGTCTCAGCTGACCGCAACCTCTACCTCCCGGGTTCAAGCGATTCTCCTGCTCAGCCTCTTGAGTAGCTGGCACTATAGGCACCCACCACCATGCCCAGCTAATGTTTTTTGTACTTTTATTAGAGACAGGGTTTCACCACTTTGCTCAGGCTGGTCTTGAGCTCCTGACCTCAGGTGATCTGCCCGCCTTGGCCTCCCAAAGTGTTGGGATTACGGGCCTGAGCCACTGTGCCCTGCCTTGTCTTTGGGCATTGAAAAAGCCTTGGCATTTCAGTTCTCTCCGTGATAGTGATTCAAAGTCCTGCTTTCTCCTTTTCCAAACGAGGGACAGCTTGCAATGTAAGATGACCAAGAAGACTGGCCCAGCAGGGTTTTCTAGGGGTCTCTGTCCAGCTATCAATCAACAAGAGGATCCCAGAGCATGCAGCCCTCCCTAGACCCACCTGATGGGGGAACCCTTCTGCTATGGTGCATCTCAGAGGGCCAGAGTTCCATGCGGCACAGTTTGGGAAAGGCTGCAAAGACAGCCATTAGATGTATCAGTAGGTGAACAGAGGTGAAGTATGATTTGTCCAGGACCATTCAGAGACCTGCCCACCCATAGTCTCTGAGTGGTCCTGGACAAATCATAGTTCCTCTCCAGGGCCTTGCTTTTGAAGGATGCTATCAGTTTGAACGCTTCAAAGGTATGGTGCAGAGTTTGGGAGAATGAACTCCGGAATCCAAAAGACCTGTGTTCCAAGCATGGTCTTGTCATTGACTCTCTGTGGCCTCAGGCGAGCCCCTTGCTCCCTCAGTGTCTTGGCAGCCACTTCACAGTTGTGGGAATAACACGATTGAACATCTAGTGCCTTGGAGCAGTTCCTGGTGCATAGTGGGTTCTGGATTCTGGGGTCAAGTTCAGGTTCAGCCATCACGTCCACCCCCACCCCACTTGGCCTGCCCCTTGGTTCTTCCTACCCTGGAGCATCTGGAAAATGGACAGAGGGTGATAGAGGCGCTAGGAGAGAACTACTAAGCAGTGGTGATGGGTGGGCTCAGGTCAGACCCAGGCAAATGGGGGTCTGCCAGAAGGAGGGAGGCCTGAGTCCAGGAACCCTTCCCTGACCTCTTCCTTTAGGTCCCTGCGGATGTGATGGCCCAGTTGTGGCTGTCCTGTTTCCTGCTTCCTGCCCTTGTGGTGTCTGGTAAGTGTCTCCCCTCCCCCGCCAAGCAGCCCTAACCTAGGGACCCTTGAAGGACATTCCGGAAGGACAGGGAAGGGGATTCCTCATCAGTAAACACCAGCTCCTATGGCCAGCTCTGTGCTTGGCTGCTCTGGGGAGGTCTGGGGAGGAATCCAGGCCTGGACAGGTGGCCTGGGTGGCCCTAGGGACTAGTGTGGGCTCCCAGGGAGCAGGTGGGGGCTGGGCTTTGCAGGGGTGTCCCTATGTTCCAGCAGTCGGTGTCCCTACAGTGGCAGCCAATGTGCCCCCGAAGTTCCTGGCCAACATGACAGCAGTGATCCTGCCCGAAGACCTGCCTGTGGGTGAGTCCTGGCCCCTGTGTCTGCCGCATGCCTGGCCCTGACGCACAAGAAAGTCCTGGGGCATACTCTTGAGCCCCAATCCCTGCAGCTCCATGGCTCACTGTGGGACAAAGAGGGCCTGAAGGGAGTTCTTTGATTCCAGAAGTTTGTTTTCTCCTCTTCTGCTTTTGGGTCAACAGTGGTGTCCCCAAGGGTGTGAGAGGCACCTCCAGGGGCCCTCACACCAGCGCCCCCCAAATCACCAGGCACCCCCTCCACCCCCCACCCCCACCCCCGGCATTTTCCATCGCTTTCAGTCTGACTGGAGGATCGCCTTGGGCCAGGCTTCCTCCTCCCTCCTCACACTTACAATCTCTCCACCCCCACTCCCCTGCTTTTTGCTTCTTTTTTTTTTTTAAGAAAGAGCAGGTGTCAGGCTCAGAACTTTTCACAGAAGCTAATGACTTGCTTTGCTTTTTTTTTTCTTTGAGACAGAGTCTCACTCTGTCACCAGACTGAGTGCAGTGGCATGATCTCAGCTCACTGCAACCTCTGTCTTCCGGGTTCAAGCAATTTCCTGCCTCAGCCTCTGAGTAGCTGGGACTACAGGCACACGCCACCACGCCTGGCTAATATTTGTATTTTTAGTAGAGACGGGTTTCACCGTGTTGGCCAGGCTGGTCTCGAACTCCTGACTTCGTGATCCGCCCACCTTGGCCTCCCAGTGTTGATATTACAGGCGTGAGCCGCAGCGCCCAGCTTTGCTTTGTTTTTATTTGTAAAGTTACTTTCTATCTATGGCAGGTGAGATGGGTTTTGATGTAAAGTTTGCTTTTAAAGTAAATGTCTTTAAATGAAATGGAAAGTCAATTTAAAGAATGAGTGCCAGGAACAGAATATAGATACAGCAAAGGTCACAGTAAAATCAAAACAAAGGTCATGACAGTGACACAGGAATGAATGAAGTTTGGGAAACATCATTTTGGTAGGAGCCAGGGGGCCTTAGATAACAGATTCCCAGAAGGCAGGATATATATATAGGTTGGGGAAGTAGAAACCATAGGTGGCATTATTGGTTGGGACCCCAAATAACAGAGATGCAAACAAGGCAGAGGTGAATCACCCTCCCCCACGGCCGTCCAGGAGCCAGGAGCTTCCGGGGTGCGTCCCATTATGCTGTCCTCCCTGTGGGGCTGGGTGGGAGTGGGTCAGGCAGCCTTCCTGCTCAGTGCCCCGCCTTCCCTAGGGCATTCCTTTCTGGATTTTATACACATAGTGTCTACTTTCATCTCTTTGGTCAAAGCTAAGCCACAGACCCACACCTAGCTGCCAGGGAACCTGGGAAATATGGCCTTCATTCTGGTCGGCCGTGTGCCCAGCTCAAAATCTGGGGCTCCATTGTTCTCATAAAAGGGGGACAAGTGGATATTGGGGGACAAGTCACAGCCTTTGTTGCAGTGTCAGAATAGAATCCAGGAATATCGAAAGCTGCCGGATGAAGCAAGAGACACCACAGTGTTGACAACTGTGAAACCTGTGCAAGCAATCCCTGATCAAGAGAAAGGATTTCCACCCAGAAAGTTCCCTGTACGCTGTTCTGGTCAATCTCTGCTCCCTATAGGCAACTGTTGTTCTCGTGTCTATCCCACGGAGGCTGGAGAGGGAGGAGCGTACAAGACTTTTTTTTTTTTTTTTTTTTGAGACAGAGTTTCACTCTTGTTACCCAGGCTGGAGTGCAATGGCGCGATCTCGGCTCACCGCAACCTCCGCCTCCTGGGTTCAGGCAATTCTCCTGCCTCAGCCTCCTGAGTAGCTGGGATTACAGGCACACACCACCATGCCCAGCTAATGTTTTGTAGTTTTAGTAGAGACGGGGTTTCACCGTGTTGACCAGGATGGTCTCGATCTCTTGACCTCGTGATCCACCCGCCTCGGCCTCCCAAAGTGCCTGGGATTACAGGCGTGAGCCACCGCACCCGGCCTACAAGACTTTTTTTTTTTTTGAGACAGGGTCTAGCTCTGTCCCCCAGGCTGGAGTGTAGTGGGGCTATCACTCACTGCAACCTTAACCTCCTGGGCTCAAGTGATCCTCCCACCTCAGCCTCCCGGGTAGCTGGGACTACAGGCATGTACCACCATGCCCAGCTAATACTTTGTATTTTTAGTAGAGACAGGGTTTTGCTACATTGCTCAGGCTGGTCTCCAACTCGTGGGCTCAACCAATTCTCCTACCTTGGCTTCCCAAAGTGCTGGGATTATAGGCATGGGCCACTGTGCACCACTACACCTGGCTAATTTTATTTATTTATTTATTTATTTTTGAGATGGAGTATTGCCCTGTTGTTGCCCAAGCTGGAGTGCAGTGGCGTGATTTCAGCTCACTGCAACCTCCGCCTCCCAGGTTCAAGCAATTCTTCTGCCTCAGCCTCCCCAGTACCTGGGATTACAGGCATGTGCCACCATGCCTGGCTGATTTTTTGTATTTTCAGTACAGACATGGTTTCACCATGTTGGCCAGGCTGGTCTCGAACTCCTGATCTCAAGTGATCCACCCGCCTCTGCCTCTCAAAGTGCTGGGATTACAGGTGTAAGCCACCTTGCCCAGCCTAATTAAAAAATTTTTTTGTATAGATGGGGGTCTCACCATGTTGTCCAGGCTGGTCTGAAATTCCTAGGCTCAAGCAATCCTTCTGTCTCAGCCTCCCAAAGTGCTGAGATTGCAGATGGAAGCCATCACACCCGGCCTTCTTCTGCTTTTAAAATAAATTCAACTTTCTTGTGGCCCATGAAAGTATCGGGGGACGTAGGCACCTGTGCCAGTGGCAGAAGCCAGAGCCCTGTGGTGGAGCTTCAGGGAAATGCATCTTCATGAAAAGGAGAAAGCCCCTGCTAATGAACAGCGGGACCAGCAGAGGTGTTGGAGCAGAGGCTGGATGGGTAAAGGAGGTGGGGACACGGGGATAGGGTGGGTTTGATGACTCTGTAAAAAGTTCCTTTCAGGCTAGGGAGTGGGATGACCAGCCTGCTGCTGTGCTCAGGCATGCAGCACAAGCTGGGACTTTCAGGAGGCCAGCAGTGTGCTGGACGCAGCTTTGGCTCACTTGAGCAGAAAGGGGGTGTCCCGGAAGGCTCTTGAAAGTTCTAGTCTGCACCCAGCTGCTGCAGCTGGGACAGGTTCATGCCAGCCGCTTCTCGTCTTGTGTCACGGAAACTCGGTATTCTGGAGAGGGCAGGGCCATGGGCTCGGCGAGGAGAGGGGCAGATGCCTGGGTACAGCCCCTCACACTGTGTCCAGTACCCTTCAAGTCACTGGGCACAAGGGAAGTCAGGATGCTGCCATCCAAAGGCCTCGGAATGCGTGCTGACGAACAGGGGCCCTGAGGCCTGGGGAGGTCCCAGATGGCAAGTTCAGCCTGTGTACCGAGCAGCCAGGCGCCCAGCCCAGCCTCACAGCCAGCTTGGCCAGACCAGCACTGAAAGGGTGGCTGTGGACCCTGGGCAGCCCCCGTCTCATCCCCAGGTGCCCAGGCCTTCTGGTTGGTAGCTGAAGACCAGGACAATGACAGTCTGACCTATGGGATGAGCGGCCCCAATGCCTACTTCTTCACGGTCACTCCGCACACTGGGGAAGTGAAGCTGGCCAGCCCTCTGGACTACGAGGTAAAGAGCATCAGCCGGACAGGGCACGGGATGGGGAGGGGGCACTGGGAGGGCCCTGGGAACCCGCATCCTGGTGGCGGCACCCCCTGTGCTCCCACCCAGCAGGAGCTCACCACTGGTCCCTTCTCTCTGACTGCTGCAGACACTCTACACATTCCAAGTCACCATCTCCGTGAGCGACGGCTCCAACTACGTGAGTTGGGAAGTGCAAGGGGGTAGACAGGGATCGGGAGAGCCCATTCCTCATTGCATCCCCACCTCCAGCAAGCAGAGAGTGCCCCAGTTAACAGTGAATTTAATGTTTATTTATATTGAGATTATACTAGACCCTTTTTTGGTCATACAATATGACTAAGATTTTAGTATTTTTAAAAATTAATTAATTAATTATTTGATTTTATATTAGTTTTGAGACAGAGTCTTGCTCTGTCGCCCAGGCTGGAGTGCAATGGCGCAATCTCAGCTCACTGCAACCTCCACCTCCTGGGTTCAAGTGATTCTCCTGTCTCAGCCTCCGGAGTAGCTGGGATTACAGGCACGCTCCACCACGCCCGGCTAATTTTTGTATTTTTAGTAGAGACGGGGTTTCACTGTGTTAGCTAGGATGGTCTCAATCTCTGAACTTGTGATCCGCCCACAGTGGCCTCCTAAAGTACTAGGATTACAGGAATGAGCCACCGTACCCGGCCAACTAAAATTTATTTAAATTATATAAATAAATGATTTATATCATATGAGGGCTTTTTTGCTTACATATAAATATATTGATTATATTTTAAGTATAAAGTTAAATGTATTATTAATTTATATAAACATTGATTAGAAAGTACCAAATTCCTCCCCTCCCCACCGCAGTGCCCCAAAGGCAATCATTTTCAACTGCTTTGGCAGTTGAAACTACACTTTTATTTCCCGCTTTGGGAGGCCAAGGTGGGCAGATCACCTGAGGTCAGGAGTTCAAGTCCAGTCTGGTCAACATGGAGAAACCCCATCTCTACTAAAAATACAGAAATCAGCTAGGCATGGTGGTGCATGCCTGTAATTCCAGCTACTCAGGAGGCTGAGGCACGAGACTCTGTTGAACCCGGGAGGCAGAGGCTGCAGTGAGCCGAGATCGTACCACCTCACTCCAGCCTGAGTGACAGGGTGAGACTCCAACTCAAAATAAATAAAACTTGTAGATACAACTAAAGTCCCCTTGGAAAATCCGTCCCCGCTCACTCCCACTGAAGTGTTCCCCGTTGCTGTGTTCTTTGACACCCCTCAGCACTGAGGTACATGCTTCCATGTATTTTTTGGTGCGTTTTCTGAAGCCCAGTGGGATCCAGCTGTCTATATTGTCTTGAAGACTGCTCTGCCCGCTCAGTGATTGGGTTGAGAGCCCTCTCTGGGTCCACACACAAATCTAGTTTTGCGCCGTCTGTATCTAGGGTGGGAGCGGCTCTGGTGGTCATGTAGTTGTCCACAGCCTCATACCAGCGCAAACAAAGCAAAAGTGCTCATTCCTGTAATAGGACTCAGACTTTCTTTCCCCAACTTTTAATTTTATTTTATTTTACTGAGTTAGGATCTTACGCTTGCCCAGGCTGGAGTGCAGTGGTGCAATCACAGCTCACAGCGGCCTCCACCTCCTGGACTCAAGCAATCCTTTTAACTCAGCCTCTGGAGTAGCTGAGACTACAGGCACTCGCCAACCATACTCCGCTAATTATAACATTTTTTTGTAGAGGCTGAGTCCCACTATATTACTCAGGCTGGTCTTGAACTCCTGGGCTCAAGTGATCCTCTCATTTTGGCCTCCCAAAGTGCATAGCTGTGAGCCACTGCACCTGGCTGGCATATTTTGCATTAAAAAAATTAACTAATGATGCAACTTACTTTCAAATCGTTCAGAAAACAACATATGGAGAGAACCTGGTCTCTATTTTTTCTATTTCTTTTTAAAAAAGAGCCCCAAAAACCATATGGAGAGAGAGAGAGAGAGCCCAAACAGTAGGCTGATCTACACAAAGGACGTCAGCTCTTTGTACTAAACTTGTCACTTTCCTGGTGTTTTAAATCCTGTTTTCTGGGCTCCCTGGGCTTTCTCACTTGCAGAGGCAGAAGGAGATGCAGGTGATCGTCGAAGACAGAAATGACAACGCACCCGTTTTCCAGAACACCGCATTCTCTACCAGCATTGACGAGGTGACACCTGCCTTAATGTGTTTGTGGGGCAGGGGCATCCCAAAGCACTTCGCAGAGTAGAAAGAGCCGGAGGCAGTAAGTGGGGCATTCAGGATTGGGAAAAGCCTCTCCTAGCAGAGGCAGCTTCAAGAACCAAAGCCAGGGGAAAGTAACCCCACAAACAATGGTTACAGCAATATTTTGCAATCAATCAGGTTAGGAATTCTTTCAGTGATGAAAGCAAAGCAAAACAAAACAAGAACAAAAACAAACAAACAAACAAGAACAAAAAAGGGAGTTGATTGTGTATCTAAAAAGTGTAGAGATATCTAAGACTTCAGGCATGGCCAGATCCAGGTACTCAAATCATATCTTGATTTGAGCCAAATCATGACTTGAAATTTGATTTGAAATAATATATTCAGGCATGGCTGGATCCAGGTACTCAAATCACATCAAGATATGATTTGAGTTTCTCTCCTCCTCTCAGCTCGGCTTCTCTTATTGCCTCCATCCTGGGGGATGAGTGGTGATAACACTATAGGCTCACATTGAGAAGGAGACCATCTCTTTCTCAATCTTTCCAGCCCAAACCCCAGGGCTGACTTTCATTGGCTCATTTTGGGTCATGAGCTATCCTTGAGCCAGTTTAGGGGTGTGGAAGGCTCCCATGAATTAGGTCAGCGTCATGGGCCTTCCCCACAGCAAATGAGGGAAGTGGGGATAGTTCCATCCAACATGGATGGAAAGGAGGTTCCCCGATGGTCACTGGGCAGCAAATGCCACCACTCCTGAACCTCCGTTGTCATGTGCCTGCAAAGAGCTTTGAGGTGGGGGGTCTCACGCCAGGCCAGACATGTGTGGCCTGGACAGCCGTGTGACAGGCTCTGATGGAATGCCTTGGTGCCCGGCACTGTCCTAGGTGCTGAGGTTACCTGGGGAGTAAGACAGACCTGGTTGCTATTCTCGGCAGTTTACCTAGGGAAGGCCACAGACAGGAACCAATCAAATAAAATATGCAGGATGATTTCAGATGGGGGTTAGTTTCACCATGAGTACGGGACAAGGCAAAGTGAAGGAAGTGACTGCAGCAGACGCTGCTTTAAGTTGAAGGGTCAGGAAATGCCTCTCTGAGTTGAGGGCATCTGAACAGAGAGACCTGAATGGCAAGAAGGAGCTGGCAGGGGATGCTCCTGGAAGGGGTGCTCCAGGCAGGGAAACAGCAGGTGCAAAGGCCCTGAGGCAGGAACGAGCTCAACCAGTGCAGCTGGAGGGGCAGGGTGAGGAGGAGGTGAGGTCAGAGAGGTGGGTGGCAGCCCGGCCTCAGAGGGGTCTGGTCTGGACAGAATTGGGGAACCCTTGGAGGATTTGAAGCACAAGAGTGATGTGGTCTGATTCATAATTTTCAAAGATCTCTTTGGCCACCATTAGGAAGTAGAGGTCATGGCTAGGTGCGGTGGTTCATGCCTGTAATTCTAGCACTCTGGGAGGCTGAGGCAGGTGGATCACCTGAGGTCACGAGTTCAAGACCAGCCTGGCCAACATGGCAAAACCCTGTCTCTATTAAAAATACACACAAAAAAAAAAGAAGAAGAAAAAGAAAGAAAGAAATAGCTGGATGTGGTGGTAGATGCCTATAATCCCATCTATTCAGGAGCTGAGGCAGGAGAATCACTTGCACCTGGGGGGCAGAGGTTGTAGTGAACCAAGATCGTGCAACTTCATTCCTGGGAGAAAGAGTGAAACTCCATCTCAGAAAAAAAAAAAAAAAAAGGAAGTAGAGGTCTTGTGGACAGGAGACCAGGAGCAGAGGTCTCCCAAAAGAAGCCTCCAGCTCTGTAGGGGGCTGTTTGAAACCCATGGCTATAGGCTGTAGAGAGCGCATGGGGTGTCCAAGTGCGCAGTGGCACGGTGAGGCTGGGCTCTAGAATGATCCCTCACCCTAGTTCTGAGGGGCTCTGAAAATCAGAAGCCAGCTCAGGTGGTGGAGAGGCTGTGTGGGGAGGGGAGGAGGGAGATCCTCCCTGCCGTCCCGCACCCCCAGATGCCTTTCACCTGCAGCCCTGTGGGAAGGACAGGGGAACACTGTCCTCATGCATGGCACAGCTGAGGACACTGAAGCTCAGGGGGGCAGTGACAGACGAGGGAGAGGAGGAGCTGGATTTGAGCTCGTAGGTGACGGGTCCCTCCCTGCAGACCCTGCCAGTGGGCAGCGTGGTGTTCTCCGTGCTGGCTCAGGATAAAGACACGGGTTCTGCGGGTGTGGTCGTGTACACCATAGAGAAGGTGAGTGTGAAGGGGCCCTGACCGCCTTTGTGACCGCCAGGGGGCAGCATCTCCACAGGCAACCCCAGGGCCTGAGTGTTGGGGTGGGGACGTTGGCCCTGCCTCGGCCCAGCCCTGGTCCCCAAACCTTCCTCTGGCCACCAGCCCCCCTCCCTGGAGCCCTCACCTTGCCTACTTGCCTAAAGAGGGTGCCTGTGGCAGACCAGACCCTTCTTCCCGCCTGCCTGCTCCCAGGTCTTGTCCAAGTCCCACAGACAATAAGGGGTGTGAGAACCAACTTATGGAAACAGACTTACTGTTGGTAGTGCCATTTACCGAGCACCAGCTGCATGCCTGGCACATACCGTGCAGTTGTCCCTTGGAATCCATGGGGAATTGGCTTCAGGATCCTGAGGACACCAAAATCCATGGCTGTTCAAGTCCCTGAAATGCGATGGAGTAGTAACTGCATGTAACCTAGACACATGTGTGCTTTAGATCACCTCTAAGTCACCTCTAATACCAATGCAATGCAAATGCTTTGTCAATATAGCATGTTATGCTGTGTTGTTTAGGGAATCATGGCAAGGGAGAAAGTCTGTACACCATCCGTACAGATGCAGCCGTTGTGGGCATAGTTACAGTTTTGATCTGTGGCCGGTCAAATCTGTGGATGTGGAACCCGCAGAGATGCAGGACCAATTGCACCTTACTGGATCTTCCTTTCAAACCACTGAGGACTGTCACCAGTCCCATTTCCCAGAGCTGGAAACCGAAGCTCAGAGAGGTCATGTGACCTGGTGCCAGTAGCGTGACTAGTCAGTGGCAGAGCTGGGGTCTTCCCCTTGTTGCTCAGAGTGGGGTTCTTGGGGCAGCGCTGTCCCTAGGGAGCCTGGCCCAAGTGTGCTCTCCCCCAGGTCATCCCCAGCACTGGGGACAGCGAGCATCTCTTCTCGATCCTGGCCAATGGCTCCATCGTCCTCAATGGCAGCCTCAGCTACAACAACAAGAGTGCTTTCTACCAGCTGGAGCTGAAGGCCTGCGTGAGTGAGGCTGCTGGCAGGGGGGCCTGGGACCCACGGCGCTGGCTCACTGGCAGCTGTCTCCCTGCAGGACATGGGCGGCATGTTCAACAACAGCTTCGTCATCCAGTGCTCCGTGCCTGTCTTACTGTCCATCTCAGTGGTGGACCAGCCTGACCTGGACCCCCAGTTTGTCAGGGAGTTTTACTCGGCATCTGTGGCTGAGGATGCAGCCAAGGTGTGCGGGGGACCTGGGGAGTGTGGGCGGAGGTGGGAGGCGGGGGACGCTGGAGGAGCACTGACTAGGCCGGCCTCCAGGGAACCTCGGTGCTGAAGGTGGAGGCTGTGGACGGTGACAAAGGCATCAATGACCCTGTGATCTACAGCATCTCCAGTGAGGATGGGGTGTCCCCAGGCCAGGGCTGGGCCAGGGAGGCAATGGGGTTGGGGCTCCATCAGAACCACTCGAGCAGTGCTGTTCCAGCTGTTCTGCCTGTCCCCTTGCCCCTTGCCAGACTCCACAAAGCCCGGCTGGTTTGACATTGGGGCAGATGGGGTGATCAGGGTCAATGGTTTCCTGGACCGTGAGGAGTTGCTGGAGGAGGGTGAGGAGGTGCAGCTGCAAGTTACGGTGAGCAAAGGCCCCAGCACACCTGTCAGACTCCTGCTCTCTAACCTCTGGCCTTTGATCTCTCTCTGAGCACTGGCTCTCTGACCTCTGCCCTCTGCTCTGTGCCTCAGGCCACCGAGACACACCTTAACATCCACGGGCAGGAGGCCAAGGTGAGCACGTGGGTGACAGTGAGTGTGACGGATGTCAACGACCACATACCTGAGTTTTACAACTGCAGCCTCCCAGCCTGCACCTTCACCCCTGAAGAGGCCCAAGTGAACTTCACTGGCTACGTGGACGAGCATGCCTCCCCTCGCATCCCCATCGACGACCTCACCATGGTGGTCTACGACCCAGACAAGGCAGGCGTGGTGGCATGGGCGTGGGCAGGGGGTAGCTGGGGAGGCCAGTGGGAGCCTGGATCAAGTGCCGGTGTGATGTGGTGCTGGGTGGCGGTGCTGGTGGTGCAAGGTGTGGTGATGGAGAAGGGGGGCGCTGGGTGCTCTCTGGAAACCTGTGTTGGTAAGCAGTGTCATCCTCTGGGCAATCCGTGCGGGGCTGATAGAAAGGTGTGCTGAGCAGAGGCTGACGCTGATCGTCAGATGATACTGAGAGGAACATCATCGTCTGTGGTGATGGGTGGTTGGTGAGGTCTCCTGGCACTG